TGGAAATCTTGGTCGCAGTCGAGCGTTTCCTCGGTAGTGTGACTCCAAACATCACCAATTGTCATGCCTTTGCCCCCTATTACGTGACAAGTCCCATTTTTAGAGGAATGTTTTGTAGAAAGCTGTGAAAGGAAGCGAAGAATTTCCTTCACTGTCGTAGACTATGGTCACTTGTCTGTAGGAATTATGTGGAAAACTCGGTCGCAAGTAAGCGTTCCTTCCGTGGTGTGGCCCCAAACATGCCTCCTCGTCATGCCCTTGTGGAATTCAGATTTTTTGCATTTCCAGATGAACTCGCAGACCTGAAATGTGCCCCGTTAGCTTCCCGTGAAAAATGCTATCGAATGATATGCATTACTCTTCCCCAGTTGAAACTTTGGTTTTTCACCGTTTTCAGCCTTCCCCTATTGCCGGATTGGACTATCCACGATTACTGCCCCAAAATCTCAAAGTTTCATTTTTCGTCGAAACTTTGTCTATTGGGGTAATTCGATGCCCTGATTACGAATATGACATTCATTTTTGATGCTGGTGTCATTTGGCGCCATTTGGCGCCACGGCTGTTTTCACCAAATCTGCTGAAACTTCGTCATTTGGGGTTATTTGGGGTCCTGATTACGAAAACGACACCCGTTTTTGGCGCTGGCGCCATTTGGCGCCGTTTGGCGCCAATTTGGCGCTACGGCTGTTTCCACCAAATCCGCTGAAAACGTGTGTATAGGGGTTATTTGGGGTCCTGATCACGAATATAACATCCAGTCTTGACGCCGGCGCCATGTGGTGTCACAACAACACTTCACAGTACTCTTAGGCACCTTTCTCAGAGCGCCGACTGTCAGACCGTGGAAAAGGTCATCGAATCGGAGACTTTCCCACGACAGGAAGGAGCCAGACCGTGGAAAACTGTGAGCTAAGCCAGAAGCATATTTCACGTTTTCACTGGAGATGCCTGTATGCGTTGGGCAGAGCAGCAATTCGACTTGCTCCTTGACTGTAAGCTCTTCAGCTGTCACTGAGGATGGTAGTACCGGGCTCGATGTACTACTTCATGATGAGCCGCAGTAGAGTTGAAACGTCTTTCCTTCGGACCATCCGAAGGAGTCCACTTCCTCTTTCAATGCCTCCAAACAGCCACTTGTGCCTGCGTACCCAACGTCGGCGGTTGTATTTGCGTTTGATAACCAGTGTTTCGTCAATTTCCATCTCGCACCCGAACCTTCCGATGATCGGCGGGTTCCTCCTGAAGTGCCCCACATTACGTCGCGGAAGAACCGCTCCCACTGAATTGAACTGGTGTGGCCGACGTTGAGCTCGTATTCCTTGTCCTTCACCTTGCCCATGTCGCGCAGCCAGAAATAGGGCAGTGCGAACACCGTGGACTCAGGAAAGTTACAGTTCTCGAAAAAGGAATCCTTTCGGGCATGAACGTAGACCCTGGTCTCGTTCGACGGTCCAGTGCGGCACGCTCGACGATTGCAAATCCAGCCGTTGTGCCGTTCGTCGTTGATCAGGCTCATGGATCGTTGACATGAATGGCATAGTGGCACAGACATCAACCCCATGGATCGCAACCAGTAAGTGCAGATTATTCAACTTGAGCGTCTCGTACACGTCCTTCAAGGCTAAGCCCAGTAGCTCTCATGACGATTGTGTCGCTAAAGAGTAGCAAGAGCCATCGTTATTCTCCGTTGTCGAAAACGTGAAACATGCTTCTGGCTCCTTCCTGTCGTGGGAAAGTCTCCGATTCGATGACCTTTTCCACGGTCTGACAGTCGGCGCTCTGAGAAAGGTGCCTAAGAGTACGCTCTGACTGTGAAGTGTTGTTTGTGACACCACATGGCGCCGGCGTCAAGACTGAATGTTATATTCGTGTCAGAGCCCATACCTGACACAGAGTTTTAGGCGGATTCGGTGAAAACGCGTAGCGCAAAAGTGGCGCGCACGGGCAATGCGGCAGGCTAAAAAAGGTTGTCGTTTTTGTAATCAGGACCCCAAATAACCCCAAATGACGAAGTTTCAGCAGATTTGGTGAAAACAGCCGTGGCGCCAAATTGGCGCCAAATGGCGCCAAATGACACCAGCATCAAAAATGAATGTCATATTCGTAATCAGGGCATCGAATTACCCCAATAGACAAAGTTTCGACGAAAAATGAAACTTTGAGATTTTGGGGCAGTAATCGTGGGATAGTGCCCAATCCGGCAATAGGGGAAGGCTGAAAACGGTGAAAAACCAAAGTTTCAACTGGGGAAGTAATGCATATCATTCGATAGCATTTTTCACGGGGAAGCTAACGGGGCACATTTCAGGTCTGCGAGTTCATCTGGAAATGCAAAAAATCTGAACATTCCACAAGGGCATGACGAGGAGGCATGTTTGGGGCCACACGGAAGGAACGCTTACTTGCGACCGAGTTTTCCACATATAATTCTTACAGACATAGTCTACGACAGAGTGAAGGAAATTCTTCGCTTCCTTTACAGCTTTCTACAAAACATTCCTCTAAAATGGGACTTGTCACGTAATAGGGGGCAAAGGCATGGCAAGGGTGATGTTTGGGGTCACACCACGGAAGAAGCGCTCACCTGCGACCAAGGTTTCCATATAATCCTTACAGACAAGTGACCGTAGTCTACGACAGTGAAGGAAATTGTTCGCTATCTTCACAGCTTTCTGCAAAACATCTCCTCTGAAAATGGAAAATGTCACATAATAGGCCCACTATGCCTGCTGAGAACTGTTCAAAGATTCCACTTGATATACAGAGGATGGGATATTGAGAGCAGAGGGAACACGTAAAGCCAGTAAGCGCTTGAAAACGAAGTAAGGATCTAAGAATTCGAACAATTATTCTAATCTCACAATGTAGTGGATGAGATTGAGTACGTGGCGCATTCTGGGGTAAGTTTTGAGGCCCTTCTTGTGTGTAGCGGTCAGCCCGCATAAGCGGGATTATATACACATCACATGCGAGCAACTACTTTTTGAGATGAAAATCGAGTGCATGGCGCAATCCTATATGGAGCTTTTCCAAAGTATCAAAGCACATTCTTATAGTGTCCGACGAGCTGAATTCAAAGATATCTTCGGATTCTCGAAAGCTCAATTTTGAACCGAGTTATAACGAATTCACGAAATTAACGAGGATTCGCGTTATTCGCGTGAATTTTCGATTTCAAACGGCGAGTACTGTATGTCGTATAACTTCGTACTGTATTTTTCGATCTCGAATAAGGCTGCGAAGAGGTTGCATTTTAATTGGTCTCCCGAGAAATGCTGGGTCGTCGCGGAAAATTTGTTCGGTACAGCTCAGCCAACTCTGTAGACTAGGTGTCAAACTTGGGCGGATTGCAATAACTGCTTCTGAAAGATCAAAAATAGACTTTTTCAACCGTAGAAAGTGCAGGAACTCATTAGACACCTTAATACTATACTGATTCATCACGTAAAGGTAGTATAAATACGAATTGTTTATTTAGAATGTTTTAGGCGATAAATTAATCATTGTAGGAATCGAGTAAATCGATCGACATGCTCAGGGCGGGATCTCCTTTTGCAGGCAAAAGTTTTGTTTTTCATTTAAATTATGGTGGCATCGATTACACCATCACTTATGGGTACGTAAACGAATTTCACACTTTGCGACCTTTTGAGCGTATCACTATTTTATTCAGAACTGGGGAGACGAGACTAGTTGATGTGCGCAATGACACCACAACGCTCCTCTACTACGGTGATTTGCCACAAGCAAGCACAAGTGACGGAAACTCAACCACGACTTTGTCAAACATTCTAGATAGCTTGATCGTAGTTGATAGTATGTCTCTCTCTACATTTCATGGTAAATGTGATAGATACGAAGTTTTCAGACATCGATTTGATGGCCCTAAGCTCTAAGTCTTGGCCTGAAATCCCACTCACTCCATACAGCAATGGCCCACTTGTGGGAGTTTTTGCTTTGGCAGGTTTGTCAGTTCAAATCAATATTGTCATTGCAGTGATTGCGTGCTGACCAAGGGGGCCTACATGATGTTATAGTATCCCTCTGTCGACAATGCGGATTTTCTCGTAACAGGCTCATGAGACCACGCCCATTTTTGGCGCGCTCGACCTTCGCTCCACTTGGGCAAAATTGTTCTGAAAGCAGTTTTTCTATTAGATTTCTGAATATAACAGTGAACCAAATGCTCGCTAATAAATGCAGAGATGTCAAAAATGTTTTGAATGTGCAAAGAGCAGTTTCAAGGGGGCATACCCTAAAACTGTTCTTTGCACATTGTCCCACGCGACCCAAAGAGGGGCACCCACCGGTGGGTACCATTGTCGCCAAAGGGCTGAAGGCAAGAATAAGGATTAAATTGATGTAGTAACACTCAAATATGAGAGCAGGGATGGGAGGTAGGTGCTAAGTTGGCTGGGGGGGACCGGACCCGCGGGGCGGCGTAGCACTCTGCGCCTGCCATGTTTGCTTCTTTGGGAAATCCGTGAGCAAGGAGGACTGTAGGCAGTACGGTGATGCCAGTCAACTTGATAAACCGGATAAAGCATTTGCCGTTGATCAATCCCTTTTTGGGATGCGGCACTTCCATTTGTACATTCGTAGTGGCGTTTGAATGCGATGTGGCCTATACAATGACTTGCGGGGCCAGCCGATGTACAAGTCAGTGTTTTTATCCTCCCAGACAAGTCTGGTACCAATTAACCGACCCGGAGGGATGGAAGGCTTGGTTGGCCCGGGCGACTCACGACCCAGGATTTGATCCCCGGACCGCTCGCGTGGTAAGCGTGCCACTTGCCACTACACCACTTCCGCCCTTCACTTGACATGTGTGAAAAGCTGGAATGTTCGAGTCTACACAATATCGCTCGAAAGAGCGCAAGGTAAGCAGAGTGCCTCGCCCGCGTGGTCCCCCTCCACCCCGCTTGGCACCGCGAGGGGGACTACTTGTGAGGAAAAATTAAAGAAAATCGTGAAATACACAGGAAATACGAGCCTTTTGCTCTACGCTGCGGAGAAGTTCAAAAGGCCGGCAGGGAGATGAGAGATAATGTGAGCGCGGAGAGCGGTAGAGAAGTCCGAGTAGAGAGAGCATAGCAGATCAGTTAGCGACGCAGACAAGACATGGGGGACCATGCTAGGTTTGGTGAAGTCTCTTAGAAGTGGCGCCTATCGACGCACTTCGATGTACTAACTAGGTGGCGCGACCTCTTCACATGCGTACCTAGCAGTTCTAGCAACGGTGAGAGCTTGTTAAGTTAGTCTAAGTTTGAACTTATCCTTTAAGGACGTTAGACATCGAACTTCTCACCTTCTATGTCTCCTCAATGGAATTTCGTGAAAACGATCCCTTCTAGCGTCATTCAAATGTGTATCAAAGTTGTTTTTGCACAGGTGCTTCGATGCCGGCAGTATCCGCCGTTAAAAATGTAGGTGAAAGCCTACTCACGTTAGCGCCAGGACAAGTGAAAAGCCTTTTCGAATTTCAACAAGCTATGGGACAGAATCCTGTCGCTCTCACCGTGTCCGGCGCGGTAGGTACATGAGGCTCGTCTTTAAGCATTTCTTTTTTTATTCGAAGTTATATTGTAGTTGAATTTCACTAACGAAAATCAACTAGTTCTCGAGGAGGCCACACTTCAATATGAAGGGAACAGTCTAAGTTTGACGTATGGAAAGGAGTCATGCAGCATTCGTGACGTCCAGTGGCAGGTAAAGGGACCGCTTATTACGATGTATTTATTCAGTTTTGGAGCCATAATTTGCTGCAAGTTATTTTTTTAGTTGGTTTCGCCTGATCACAATACATTCGCACTAAGGATTCTGAACGGGAAATACTTCTCTAATTTCCAGAATCACAAAAGGTGAGTACCAAATGGTAACTACGGGGGGGGGGCAAAAAAAGAGCCACTCTTCTCCACATTCAAAACAATTAATTACACTTTGCCAAACCAAACCGAAATGAGCCCAACTGAATATTGAAGAGCACATTCTAATCTATCAAAAAGCTTACATAACAGCCTTCTACACCGACGACATCAGAAGATTTTCCCACGGAACATGGTGGTGACAATCTCAACGAGATTGTCGACGTACCATATTCGATATTATAGTGACGACATCTGAAACGCTTGTATTTTCACAGCTAATGTCTCTAAGAAGGAATCCCGATAGACCGATTGAAGAAATTGCATAGCAGCTTCAGGCTGGAGCGATTACGGTAGGCCTCCTTGAGCTCGACGGTGATGACAGATGACGTCATATTCTGGAAGACGGTGAGGCAGTGAAGGAGGGCCTGTTCTGCTTATGGGGGGACATCTAGGAATATTTTGCCGTAAACTTCCATCAACAGCGCCACACTTTGCGACGAAAAGTTCGATTATGTGCGCCCAAGGCGAAGCGATACTTTTTTGGTCCTCCCCCTGCAGTTGCCCTCGTAAGGACTGTAAAACAGTAAATTTCAGCCCTCGTAAGGACTGTAAAACAGTAAATTGATTCCTTGTTTCACAACAGGACTTTATGAACGGAATGCCAGACCGGCTTCACATCTCAAGGTGTCCCTCTCGAACTGAGCACTACAGTTGTCGTAAAGAAACCGCCCAACGTGGCGGGTAGGTGCTCCGAAGAAATTTATTTACAAACGTTAGGCAGGTTCTTTATTTGAGCTACTACTTTGTGATGTTGTTACGAACAGGTCTTGCCCTCCAAAAAGCCAACACGAATTGCCTCAAACCTCCACGTAGAAATGATAGCGTTGACCTTTCTTCACAAAAAAAAAGTTAGCCACATTGGAGTCTGCTCGTACAGACACGGCAACATAGGATAGGACACCGGGCGAAGACACGGTTTTTCGAGAATTTCCTATTTTCAAAACAAGCAACTTTTTATGGACTTTCTCTCCTCAGGTAATCTTAACTCATGGAAAGAGTTCGATCTTGACGGGCCGGGTGGATTTTGCTACTACTGGAGAGGCTTGGCCGAGAGTCGCTTCTGCTCTCGAGAAGGAATTTCGGAAGAGGCCCGTTGATGGGTCTGCGGCGGTTTCGCAATCAGAGGAAATTCAGAAGTTGCCGTTCCATTATTGCGTATGAACTGTAAAGAATACCAAGCAGTGCTCCAATGTCGCCTGTTGCCCTTTCTTAGCGAAGCGGAGCGAAAATTGCATTTTTGGCAACAGGACCACGTGTCTTTCGATGCTTCGCAATCTACCAAAGAATGGCCTTAACCAAATGGTGCTGAAGCGATAGATTGGCTTGTGTGTCCTCTTTACTGCAACCCTATAGGGAGCCCTTGATCAAGGCGTTAACTTTAGCAACCGGCAGTATAATACCGCGGATGAACTGAAGGCGGCGGTAGAGGCTATTTGGGCCGACAGCGACGAAACAGCTATGCCAAACGTGGTTCAGATTATGCCGGACAGGATGTTTGAGCTAATTAGAAACTCTGGAGGCCCCACTGATTTCTAATCTCAGCTATGTTTTTGTCTTTTGTTAAGTGTGCACATACTTTTGAAACAAAGAAAAAAATTTCATCCAAAATTTTCTTTCGAAAGTGAGGCGATATTATCTGCTTTGCTTCCATTGATAGGTTATCGACTACGAGAAATCGATTGAGAAGGATTTCATAGCACGAAACCTCATGGTTCCCTTTCAAACGTGAATTTTGAGGGTGTGCACATACTTTTGAAACGCACTGTAGTATTTCAG